CTGTTCGTATAGCCGAACGCCACGTGGCAGAGAAAACGGCAGCCATCTTGTTTGCACGAAAGGAGGCAGCGGGACTTGGTTGTCGAGTATCTGGAACTAAAAATCGGACACTCGACTTCCCGAACCACCGGTCAAACTGACGAACGCCTTCTTCCTTTTCCCGAACAGCCAGTAGAGTGCTGTTCAGTAGTTTTGTTCACACAAACGAGGGGAACAATCGCTATGAGCCAGAGGGATCCATTTGTGCATTATTTCATTTATTTGGACTTAACGAAATAGACTGACCGCACAGCCTGAAATCATGGAACGGTTTTGGGCAAGAGCCTCGTGTGCAGTCGGTCAATTGGAATTTCTATGAAAATCGAAAACCCTTGAACCGATCTGAGTGATACTTGGATATGTTGGTCACCCAGATCTGGGCTATCAGGGGATGTGACATTTGTGGGGGTCCTATATGTTTTGGGGTGTTTTTCAAATATTGTAAAAAGTGTGTTCCGTCTGCCTGGAGAAAATTGGGTTATTACTTTATCTGACCCGATTATCTCCAGACAGAGAGGAGGGGATTTACGGTTTGTGCTGGGAGTGTCCCTGTTCTGCTCTGTATTTTTATTGGATATACTAACTTGTGTCCCAGTTTACAACAAGGTCCAAGGGGGTGTTCCCCTAGCCTGAAAACTTGCATAAAAGTTAGAGTGGCACAATAAAATTTCATTCCTCTTGCACCCTTCATCATGTTTCGGCTGATGTTTGGGTACCTGATTACTGCTGTGGAGAATTTCGGCTTGAGCGCTCCACTTACTCTGGATTATTAGGCGAACGGAGAACCGAACGGCAAGCTATAAATCACTCTTGCTCTCTGACGTTCGGTTGAAAACAGACGAACCCCTAGCTACCACTTCAGGGTTCGTTACACTTACCTTTATTTGTCTGCAGGTGCTAGCTCTGTGCCTGATCCACCTGCTTGGTTCACATAAGTGATCTCAGCCAATTACAATGCTTTCCCATAGGAAAGCATTGGATTGGTTGAGAATATCAATTCTAATTATCTGGGCCAAGGAGTCGGGCCAGAGGGTGGAGCCAAACACCATTCTAGCCAATGCATCTCTGTGAGAAAAGTTCAGTGTCTCCATGCAGTTTGCCGCACTGCCCCAGGAAGCACCTCTAGTACCCATCTGAGGGGTGGCCACTGGAGGTATCCCTAGGATGTAATGTAAACATTTAATTTTCTCTGAAAAGAGTGTTTACTGCAAAAAGCTTGCAGGGACGGACTATACTCATCAAAACAACTACAGCTTAATATAGTTGTTCTGGTGCTTATAGTGTCCCTTTAAGCTGTGAATAGGCAAAGCTCTCTTGTGAGGACCTCCTGAGAAGGTATGTTGAGTAAGTCCAGACATATCACCATACTTGCTTGGTAAGGAGCAAACACCTTTTCTCCATAGACCCAGTGACAATTTGTGCTCACATCCTTCCCCTCTAGGTGGTCTGTGTAGGAACACCAGGCGCCATTTCCTCCTCCGAATTCCTCTCCACAGGTGTGGGCGGTGTGATGAGGTCTTGCCTTGCTCTCAGCTCGGGTAGGATTAGTCAATAAGACACATATTTGGATAAGACAGAAATACTCACTGTAGGCTGCAGAGTCCGCTTCGACTAGGTTAGTATGCAGGTTCGGTTGGTCTGTTCGGCGGAATCGTCTGCGGAGGTTCAGAATGATGGTCATTCGGCCTTGTGGCCATCTTAAGACAAGTAGACCGTTTATTCAGGGAGCTCTCTGATGCTTTTACAAGTCGACTTACTCCCCTGTGGAGACCAGGGTAACTCCCACAGGTAAAAATGGTGCGGCTGGTGCACAGCAGAGATAGGGAGCGGTCGCCTCTCACTTGATCCCCAGGGTAAGCCTTCCATCCCTGGAATCACTATTCCCGCAAAATAGCTCCCCATTAGGAAAAGAGGAAAAATTATAAGTAGATCTTCAAACTTCTAGCTAAAATAGCTGAATTGGAGAATTTTTTCAGTTTGCCAAGTTTTTAAATTCACTTTGAATTCATGGCGATTCTCACTCTAGTGAATTACCCTGCTTGGATGGTCAGTTAGGATATTCTCATTCTACTCTGGTCAGTCTGAACTGTTAGTTTAAAGTGCAGGAGAGAAGAGGATTAAACAAATCTATTTCTTCACAACCTCTCTCTGCTCAAAGCAGGATATCTAGCCCAGTATTGTAATTAATTAGCGGTTTAGTTGACTTCTTATATTGGTTTGGTCATATACAACTATTAAAGGGTTACTCCAAATTACGACCACTTTGCTCAAGTGGTCATTGTGTCTAGTGTTTGTTTTTCACTATGAAATGCTGCACATACAGAGTTTAATCTCTCTCCTGCCAGAAGTGTAACTCAAACTAAAGCCGCAAGTGAGGTTAGCCAAAAGGGGAAACGGCAATAAAAACAAAAAAACTATACTTATTAGTTTAGATTTTCTCACTAGTATAAGACACTTTCCCAAGACCGGAACAAATTATCTGCCAGGACAGAGGCAGGGACATTGCTGCAGGCCAGCACTCCATTGGCAAATGGACATTTTGAAACAAACCAAATCAATTTAACTCAAGGCTTCTTTTAGTGTCCAAAATACCATTGTCTACTTAAGGAAAACATTGAGGTCTGACCTCACTAAAAGGGTATTTGCAGGAAGACACCTTTAAAAAAAAGAAGCTGTGCTTGCTGGGTCTCGAGGGATATAGGCTAAACTGACCCTGAATGGGCCTTTTTTTTTTACAAAAAGTGGCCCAGTGAGCATAAAATGAAGGTTCAATCTTTTAAGAACAGGCCACACCCTCCTGCTGTAGAGCGAAGGAAATATATACAGGAGATGGATGTTCTATTTATACCAACATCAGAGTTTTGTTTCCTATCCTTTCTGCAGTAAGATGAAGTCACTCCATTAGTGAAAGGGAAATAGTTACTACTCTAAAAAAAAAAAACGAAAAAAAAAAACCTCACTGCACAAAAAATAAATAAAAATAAAAATGTTTTTCTTTTAAATGTAGTCGAGTACTCTGATGTCAATTTTGGTCATTGGCAACCAAGTAATCATTGAGCATTAATGATCGTACCAAGCATGAATTGCCTTTAGGTGGTGCTAAGTTACCTATAAGCAAAATCTGCAGTTTACAGCCTTCTCCATAAAGTAATGGAAAATAATACAATGGTTCTGGGGACATTATGCTGCAATACTGTATCCCCTTTTTTTAACCTATTTAATGCACTTCACTTTTTAATTTAACACAATTCTGTGATCAATATTGGAAAAATATATATCAACCCCAAGAACACATATAGCAAACTTAGAACAACGGATGACATCAAATGAAGTGCTACTCTATTTGTAACAAGCACATGTTTCATATAATATTGCATGTGGCACCGAACTGGCATCTTCCAATCTGCAGTTATTTTTCTGGAATGGCTGCCCAGCATTTTTAAACAGGTGCAGATGTCATGATTGGCAGAGGGAGGGTGCAGATATTGACCACCGATATGTGAACAAGTGGCCAGAGGACAATCTGACAGTAATTACTCATTAATTTTCATCAAATCGAGTGGATACAAAATCCAATCCACGTCATTAATTTACTGCATTAAATACACCACTCTCGCCATGCAAAACTTTGAGAAGATGATCTAGAAAGCACATTTAATTTTTAACACACGGGTGGATCCTTAATGTGTCGGTTGAGCGTGCTGTATTTGGTGGTGTGACCATGGTGATGGATTGTAGTTGTGTGTGTTGGGGGAGGCCTCCCACTTTCTTTTTGTAACCTGCCCCCACTCCTGCTTACCTTTTGGCAGGAGGGGATATTATCCCTAGTGGTCCAGTAGAGGGTGTTTTGGGCACTATGCCAAGTTGGAAAGTATGTAGTCTGAAACAATGACTCAGAATATTGGCTGCTGCACCAGACATTTATGGAGCATTGGGACAGCAAAGGAGCTCTGAAAGTGATCTGCACCCAGTCAAGGTGCAGACCGTATGCTCCCATTAGGTAGTGCAGGGTGATCTTTTGGAGGTCCGTCAGCTCAGGGGATGGTAAACCAGCTCTACACAGAAATACCATACAAGTACATGCAGTTCAACACCCCTTCAGCTATGCACATGCTCTGTCCACATGGCACTGTAGGGAGTTAAACTTAAATTGCATTCTGAATTGGGCAACTAGAGAGATTCATAAATGGTATAAACTACATTTTGTTTAACCATTGATCATATCCTTTAATTGTTGCTTGGAAGTTGCACAAGTCAAAATCAGGAAGAGAAAAATGCATGTATATTTGTATTAGATACTCTGATGCCACACAATTTGTAAATCACTTGATTCAAAATTGAGGCCCTACACTGGCACGATCAGCTCATAATAGAGTGAAGCTATGGACTCCTTAAAAAGGGGCATGCATCACTTTTATCGGACAACCGTGGAGAAAGTTTAATAGTGTGAAATATGCCAACAATATATAAATATATTCTGCTGGCTCCTATGTAAACTATGACGCAACACTGGTCAAAACAGGTTTTCTATCAAAACTATGTTTTTTCCTTACATTCTTAAAACAACGCTCTTTCCTTACCATATTGGTTTAGTGTGCTATTCACTAATACAAACTTGCAAAGAGGTATCAAAACATTTTATAGGCTGGAGAAAAAAAAAAAAACACAAACAAGAACCCGATCTCCCATGTTACATGTTGTTCTTGTAAATAAGAGCAGGGTGGGGAAGACCCCAAGGTTACCAGATGTGTCCGTTTACAAGTAAATCATGAACCTATTAAAAAGGCACTCAAACACCTACAGTTTTTTTCCTTTTAAAGGGACCAGTGTATTATCGGAAGTTCTGCACACATATAAACAATGTCTTAGCAGACTGTTGCTTCTGCAATAAGTATGTGCATGCAGAGGTAAAACAAGTGAACCTTTCTGAAGGTGTAAAAAAACACAACAAATTTTTATTTATTTTTTTAAATAATTTTAATATATATTTTTTTGCTTTCCTTTGTTTTCTAGATATCAAAGTTTCAGACTCTCACACCTCAACTGACTTATTTCACCTGTTCAGCGCTATATTACATTCTTTCACATAGGAGTGCAAGTATTGATATCCTCATTGTGCATTGGCCAAGGCCGGAGAGAATAGTACTTTTCAGCCAAAATGTAATTCCACAAAAGAAGGCTTGTTTGTTTTTTTTCCCCTGAAAAGGGAGATTTATGTTCCATTTAATTTAGCAAGGTAATGCTGCTGAATTATACAAATTAAACATACTTCAATGATGCAAAAACACTTATCTTCTGATTGTGGTTAAAATTCATGTTTATCATGTGTACAAGCAGTGGAATAGAGGCTTAAGTACCCATCAGTCAAATATGAGTAAAATGTTGGCATGATTTTTTTGATTAGGCCTACACCATAGTTGTACAGTAAAAGCCTTATATATTTACAAAGCACCTATACCTCTCCTACGGTTTGTAACAAATTAATCTTATAATACAGTCTTAATCGTCAAGTATAATAAAAAAAAATTTAAATTAAAAAATACCTGTTATGTGACGGTTTAATTTGGCAAACCATGGCAGCCATTTTTCTCTCTCCTTGAAATCTTGACAGCGGCTGTATTAGAATATGTTTATAACCTGGTATGTCAGTAACATTAGAATACAGTAAAATATCAAAACAAAGTTGGAATTTTGCAATGTATATACACATTTGCAGATAGAGCAACGCAGATCCTAAAGTGATTTTTACGTCATGAATATTACAAGCCCTTTCCGTATAAGAGGGGCTAAGCCACTATAGCAGATGGTTACTCGTTTTGGTCTGCGGAGTAGGAAGGCCCCACAATAACGCAATATTACATCTTTCAAAACACCTTCCTATGAAACAAGGAGACAAAACACGTATTTGATTTATAAGCCAGACTGAAAAACCAGCCTCTGTCTTCCAATATCACGCTGCATGCCCATTAAGATCCCACAAACAATCACTATCTCTTAGCCCTAACAGAAAACATAACCCTTTCAGAATACCAAAGCTTGTAAAATACTTTTGCGGCAATTTCTTTTTTTTTTTTACAGAAATTTACAGTTAGACAAAAATATAGATCATATATATAATATATATGATTTCAAGGTGGTGGTTATGGATTATTTGCAGTAGTCATGGTGTTGATGTTCAAGTTTTGTTTAGTAGACCCCCCCCCCCCCATGATCCCACACTTTGCCCCAGTCCAATTAAGAAAGAAAAAATAGGAGTTTAAATTAATAAAAAAAAAAAAAAGGCGTATTGGCAAATGAGTCCACTGATTTTGCATTTACCGCTCCCCTCCATGGTAGACACACAAAGTCCTGCAGGTTTGGTTCCAGTTAGAAGATTTCCCTGCTCTTGCAGTAAACTTAAATTGGCACTATTCAAATTTTGAAAGGGATAAGTCCCCTCCTCCTACAGCAGAGAGCTTGTCCAGTGGGGTCTCTCCAAGAATAAAAGAAAAAGGGGTGCAGAATATGCAATGTATTGGTGGAAAAATCTATGCAAATCCCATAGTTTAAAGAGCACTTAGTGAGGTCGACTGCTGCTGGATTCTGAGGGGTGTCTACTCCGAGGGCTGGTGTAACCGTTCGTGTAGCCATTGGTCTGCCTTTTTGTCAACCCTCCATTTAAAATATCCTGTATGTGCTGCACAATCAAGTTGATGGCAACTGTAAAAAAAAATATAAAGAGAAAAAAATATATATAAATTAAAGTTAACAGACTACCATAAATACTTGTCAAAAACAACCACAATTCAAGGGCGAACCTTTATCAATTCAAAACTGCATAGGTTCATATTCCTTAGCTCAGAATAAAACCAAATAAATAGAATATTTCTGAAAGGAGATATGTTCTGATTGGCCACAAGATCTGTTCTGATTTGCCCTTGTAGTCATCATAACGGATCAACACTAAACCATCCCACTACTGAATACGGACTGTGGAAATGTAGGAGGAGATTTTTCAATGAAAAGCAGGTGCAATTCAAGGGCAAAGTGATAAAGAAGCAATAACTGTCATAACCAATAGAATGTCTCAACATCCATCAACAGGAAAACAAAAACCTTGATCAATACATTAGCTATGGGTTGTGTTGTGTGTTCAGCAGAAACGCAGATACAGGTCAATAAGCCCAAGGCACAGTCCAGCTTCGCCTATCCCAATAGCTTTCAGTCATGCATACATCAATTTATTTTAGGCACGTCAGATCAGTGGCCTAGGAAACCCCTGTTCCTGTACTAAGGGTTTGGAGATATGCCATGGAAAAGAATGCTTCACAAAAATACCTATTCCCTTCACCCCATCTAGGCTTCTGTGAACTCCATGGTTCTCTGGGGACCCATCTCACAGTTTTATATTTAGACTCCCTTATGGGCTCCTACATGGTTTGGGGAGCCCTGTTGTCTTTTTTGTCTAAGAGGGATCTTTGC